CCACTTGACTTTTTTCCAATGCTCGACTGTCCAATCCTTGTGTTCCTGTGCGAATTGGAGACGTTTTATCTTGGTAACTGCAGGCAGCAAAGGTGTTTGACCAGGCCTTCGGCTGTTTTGCTGATACTCACTCCATGGCTCCGAGCGCCAACAATCATGCCACGTTCAAAGGCTGTTAAATCTTGCTGTTTACCCTTATCTTCAGAAAAAAATCACTTCTACTGTCATGGTAAACAACCTGCTTACCAGGTTGTCTGGCCCTCTAGCAACTTCAGCACGGAAATTATAGCTAATTTGCCTACAAACTTCAGGTGGTCATAATAATGTGGCCATTCAGTGTAGTTCAGAATATATTCTGTCATGCTAAATGTTCCCTTTCAACATGAAAAGAAGGTGTATGCTGCCTTTAATGGGTAGAGAGCATTCTGTAAAAGGCAGGTCAAGTTACAGTAGGTGGTATTTTCTTAGAGTCATTATACCTGTGCTGATTTTCTGTGTATTCGTTTATTCTATTATTGAGAACGTGGTAGTAAAATCTCTATAATTGTAGATATGTCTGTTTATCCTTGAAGTTACATTAGCTTTTATTTTACATATCTTGAAGCTCTGTTGTTAGGTGCATAATTGGGTAGGGTTGTTATGTCTCTTTGACTAATTGACCCCTTCAAGCAGTATAAAATAAACTTCTAAATCCCTTGTGATTTTCTTTGATTTGAAATCTATGTTAGATGTGAATGTGGTCACACTAAGTCTCTAACTAGTGTTAACATCTATAGCTCTTATGTTTTTACTTTTAACCTGTTTATGTCTTTATATTTAAAGTCTATATTATTATTGGTAGTTTATAATTGGGTGTTTTTAAAAATTCGGTCTGGCAAATCTCTGTTTCTTAATTGTTGTGTTTAGACCCTTTACATTTAATATGGTTTTTTTTAAAATTAAGACTTTTTTTAGAGCAGTTTTGAGAGGAAGGGACAGATTTCCCATATACTCTTGTCCACATACAGTTTTCTGAGGATTTTTTTTGGAATGGTAGCTGGGTTTCCTGCTATTGACATCTATTACCAGAGTGGTACATTTGTTAAAACTAATGAACCTATATTGAAAAACCATGATCACCCAAAGTTCCGTAGTTTACATTATAGTTCACTCTTGGTGGTGTACAATATATAGGTTTGAACAAATGTATAATGATGTGCCCCTCATTATGGTATGTAGAGTATTTTAACTCCTAAAAATCCTCCCTGTCCTTATTTATCCTTCTGGCCTCCCCATCTCCCACAACCACTGATATTTTTACTGTCTCCATTGTTTTGCATTTTCTATAATGTCATACAGTTGGAATTATACAATATGTAACCTTTTCAGATTGGCTTCTTTCACTTTTTTTTTGCACGTGAGTGTCCAATTCAAGTAGCATTTGTTGAAAAGATTTGCTCTATTGCATTGCCTTTGCTCCTACATCAAAGAGGATCTATTTATGTGAGTCTATTCCTGGGCTCTCTATTCTGTTCCATTGATCTATTTGTTCTTTCCCCAATACTACACTGTCTTGATTAGGGTAGCTTTAGAAGTCTTGAACTCAGGTAGTATCAGCCTTCCAACTTTGTTCCTCTTCTTCAGTATTATGTTGGTTAATCTAGGTCAGCCGTGGGCAAACTACGGCCCGCGGGCCGGATCAGGCCAGATCCAGCCCGTTTGAAATGAATAAAACTAAAAAAAAAAGACCGTACCCTTTTATGTAATGATGTTTACTTTGAATTTATATTAGTTTACACAAACACTCCATCCATGCTTTTGTTCTGGCCCTCCGGTCCAGTTTAAGAACCCATTGTGGCCCTCGAGTCAAAAAGTTTGCCCACTCCTGATCTAGGTCATTTATCTCTCCTTGTAAACTTTAGAATCTATTTGTCAATATCCACAAAGTAACTTGTTGGGATTTTGATTAGGATTGCATTGAATCTATATACAGGATGGGGCAAAAGTAGGTTTTCAGTTACTCAAATGGAAATAATACAATCTATAATAATGAAAGCATATGCTAATTAGACTCTACAGCCTAACAAAGCCGCCGAGGCAGAGGCGGTTAGGGGCGATCAGGCAGGCAGGTGAGTGGTTAGGGGGGATCAGGCAGGCAGGCAGATGGTTATGGGCGATTATACAGGCAGGCAGATGGTTAGGGGTGATCAGACAGGCAGGCAGAGGCAGTTAGGGGCGATTAGGCAGGCAGGTGAGCAATTAGAGGTGATCAGGCAGGCGAGTGGTTAGGGGTGATCAGGCAGGCAGGCGAGTAGTTAGTGGTGATCAGGCAGGCAGGAGAATGGTTAGGAGCCAGCAGTCCCGGATTGTGAGAGCGTGCAGCCCAGGCTGAGGCCCCCCCCACGCCTCCCACCCCCGCACGAATTTTGTGCACCGGGCCTCTAGTCTACACTAATAAAAGAGAAACATGGTAATTGGCATATGACTGCTACCTTTCCCGTTGGCTAATCAGCGAGATATGCAAATTAACTGGCAGCCAAGATGGCGGCCGGCAGTCAGGCAGCTGATGCAAACAGGGAGGCTTGCTTGCCCCGCGGGGCTTCAGCCAGCTGGACCACAACATTGTATCAAATACAGACAGTAAACAAAGGCCAGAAACCTGTTTTCAGCAGCGAGGCCTCAGAGTTAAAGCTGGCCCAGAATAAAAAAGAAAAAGAAAAAAACGAGC